GGGGGGGGGGGGGGGGGGAGGAAGAGCGCGATCGACCGTACGGTGCGGCGGACGAATCTGCGCGGCCATTGTCCGTGCGCAACGTTCCGTCATTCCTGCGATTATCTCATTTCTCACAATTAACCTTCTCTTCCCATTCTCTGTTTCAGGTAAGTCCATTCAAGTTTTCATCGACGCTGCTCTAGAGGATTCGCCGGTTGGCCGCATTTCAGCTCATTTGGGTTATCTCCTGCGGTAAATACAATTGATAGTACTTTTCAACAAACTTGAACAAGCTACGAGCATACGAGTAGAATGGGCAAAGGCCCAGATTGGGTCGATGCATTACAATAAGCATTATCAAGTAGGGTCGCGACCGAGAACCGATGCGAGAGTTCAAGTTAGTAATGTGTTCTGGCCGGATATGAGAACGCAGATTGTCTTGTGGACGACTAAGACTGCATATCCATTTGTATCACCGTCGAAAACGTGTTCTCTGGTTTATCCTGACTCAAAGAAATCAGACCTTCACCTCGAGACCCGCGTACATTCGCATGATAAGAGATAGATAGCGCACATTCTCTAAGATACGTCGAAGATAAATGAGGATTACTCCAATTTGTCAGATAACAGCAGGATAGAAGCTTTCTGCCCCCTTTTTCTGTCTCTCTGTCCGTCGCGCTCGCTCCTCTTCAGGAGTATTAAGAGGTATTAAAAGTATAAGCGGAGCTACTCGGTGGTAATGCGGTCGGGTGCTTTGTCCAGGAGTCGATGGACTCTTACTTAGCCCCGGCATCGGTTCGCCGAGCCGTAATAGGACGAGAGGCCACTAGGGCCGGCAAAACGCGCGGGCGCGCGCGTTCGCTCTCGGTGGGAAGGGTGCATTAGCCTAATCTGACGAGCCTCGTGGGCTGTGAGAAGTATCGCGCTCGCCCCACAGAATCAATCGGCATCGCCTAAACCGATGCGTAACGTCCGGCCACGTGGGTGGTCGAGCGGTCGAGAGAGAGAGAGAGAGAGAGAGAGAGAGAGAGAGAGAGAGAGAGAGGGAGAGAGAG